TCAACATAATGTTGTCAATATATATGTTGGCTCAAACTTAATGTTGTCAATCTATGTATTGGATCAAACTTAATGTTGTCAATCTATATATTGGGTCAAACCTAATATTGTCAATATGTCTGCTGGATCAAACCTAATGTTGTCAATTCATGTGCTGGCTCAAACTTAATGTTGTCAATCTATGTGCTGGGTCAAACTTAATGTTGTCAATCTATGTGCTGGATCAAACCTAATGTTATCAATCTATGGCTGGTTTACACCTGATGTCATTGGGGCATCATTATATATGTATGCGCTGTATTCTTGCTGGCGTTACGTTTATATTTGTTGCGCGGTTTGAGCAAAGACTAGATACTATACTGTCTTTGTTTTTGAGTTGTCTGATTCTGTTTCATTACTGACTTAGGGTTGATAAAACCATTCGTGTTATAAAGTTATAGTAACCGGAAATAAGACAGTATCTCATAGTTGTTTGTAGTGCAATGTACACTTTTATTTTACTATCGCAATAAAACAACAACAACAACAAAACAGAACAGTTTGTACCAAAATAAAAAAATATATATATATACAAACAGTACTGATAGTGATGGCCTACGAAACACCTGACGGGCGCGATGTGGCCACGTGCAAATAATATTGGGACGTTACATAAAACTTGGAAACAAATATTTCACGGGGGAAAACATTGTCTCAGTGTCCCTAAATCTAGGACATATGTTAAAAAAACAAGTGGTCTCCTGGTTGTCCGGTGAATATTGTATATTGTCAGATATACAACTTGATATGATTTTTTAATCGAAAAGCCGAAATTCTCATTATAAAATGGGAAATATAAATTTGGGCTCTGATTATTTGATTGGTTTCATATAGTTGTTATAACGACGTGACGTCATGATATAGTTCGGCTGACAAATTTCATTCTTTTGTGGTGGGTGTCAATATGACGATATTATGTACCAATCCGCAGCGAACTATATTTATGGGTATTGCTTCCTTGTTTTCGCGTATTTTGTCAATTTTATATACAGTCAAATGTTGGATTTAAAACATTGGTGGGTGTATGTTGCGTGAATACTGTAGATTTTAACAGTAATGTACCAAAATATGCGAATCTTTTATGTGACCCCGCGGAAGGATTATGAAAGGTCGTAGTGTGGTTGAAATTACTCCGTCTTTTCTTCCTATGCATATATTACCGTGGCGCTGGTCATAAACATCGTGTAGTGTATGATGACCCGAAAAGCGTTGGGAATTTCGCGAAATCTGGGAAAAGATGCTGTAGCACGGGATTGTGGACGATTTTAATGGAATGTATTTATGCTGTATGTGTGTTTTTGTGCTGCAATGGGCTGCGGAAGCAGCAAGATAGTGCCCGATTCCCCGGTGGACCCTCATGTGGATTGGGTGAAAACTCTTGAAACAGGACCGAATGTCCGACGGAATAATAACTACAACAATACCTACCATCGGAACTACAATGATCATAACAGCAACAAGAAGAAAAGCATGGGTAAATATAAGGCCAAGTTTGATCCAAGAGTGTTGGCAAAGTACGATGTCAAAGCTCTAATCGGTAGGGGCAGCTTCAGTCGTGTCGTTCGTGTTGAACACAAACTAACAAAGCAGCCATACGCGATCAAAATGATCGAAGTAAAGGAAGGCAAAGAGGTATTTGAAACTGAACTTGGTGTGCTCAGAAGGGTGAGGCACACAAATATTGTGCAACTCGTTGAGGTGTTTGAAACGCCAGAGAGAGTATACATGGTCATGGAATTGGCAACGGGTGGGGAATTATTCGACAGGATCGTGGCGAGAGGGAGTTTCACTGAGCGAGATGCAACACGGGCAGTGCAAATGGTACTAGAAGGTGTCCGTTACTTACATGCCGCTCGGCATCACACACAGGGACCTAAAACCCGAGAATTTACTGTATTATCACCCGGGGAACGATTCTAAAATTCTGATCACAGACTTTGGATTGGCCAGTACGCGTAAAGCTGGCGATGAAATGACGATGAAAACTGCTTGTGGAACCCCCGAATACATTGCTCCGGAAATACTACTCCGGAAAAGTTATACAAACTCTGTTGACTTATGGGCGCTTGGCGTCATAACTTTTATTTTGCTTAGTGGAACAATGCCTTTCGATGACGAAAACAGAACAAGGCTATACCGAAAAATATTAAGGGCAAAATATTCGTTTTCAGGGGAGGTAAGGATATTTACGAACTTTACATTGTTTTTTTTAATTATTGTAGGCTGTACTCGTGTCACTTTGACCAGACTCTCGAACTGTTGTCGCTTTGCGTTTCTTACACTAATATGTGAAGTGAATTAATGGTTTGCGTGACGAGACCTTAGTAGATATTTCTATGACCTCCCACCCCGAACAAAGTCACGCGTATGAAGTGTTTATAACTGTCAGTCAGCTATCGCATGATTTTCATGACCACACGAATAAAGTTTTATCCATTTTTGTCTGAAGACAATCACGTAACACTAAAATGACCTAGGAAAATGATCGCTAAGGTCGTTCAGAAATAGGGAAGAGTCTATCAAATTTCGTTGCTGTCAAGCTCAAAGCTTTAAAATATATAAGTCCTTTCTTTTCCCACCATTATGTGAACTGCTTTGCATGACTATAGAATTGTATTCTCTAGCAAACTGCAAAAATATAAAGGTAATTAAATCAGCCAGTTAACTTATTCATGTACTTGTACTAACCCCAGTAACTTCTCTAGTTTTAGATGAAATGTACCAGCCCCTGAATTATGTTTGTTTTCACAAGTCCTTCCTGTGAGAGACATGGGGGGGGGGGGGCTATTAACATATAACTGTTGTTCCCAAATAAAGGATTGGCGGTGTACTTCAGTAAATGCTCACATCCGCTCTCTTTTGTGCTGTGAGACATCATGGTTTGCCATGT